CATATTCAGCAATGATCAGCACTGAAACTGATTTCTACCAAGTAGCTATATAAATCAATACTGTACATATGCAAGATTCATCTGTATTTTTATACATGCAACAGAACAAGAATTTGATGCAGAAGTGCCAAAGTGATTTTTATTACAGTCTGAGGGAAATAAAATAGAGTGTACCGTTTTTTTTCCTCATTCCCTTATTATTCCATTACAGCAGTTTGAAGCTGACATAATATGTGTTTGTAAAATAAGGCTTAAAAGAGTGAATTTAGAGTATATTGTTAAGTTTATGAAGGGGCAATGATCTCCCTTAGAATTTGATGTACTACAAAACTTTTTGTTATTCTAAAAAGTTAAATTTTAAACTCAATTTTTTTTGTAGGGTACATTATTAAACTAGAATAATCAGAAACTGCAGTCTTACCTTTATACATTCTATGCATCAGTAATAGAATTGTAAAATATGATATTCTGCAGTACATTTTTTTTTTTTTTTCTTATTCTATTATTCTTTTTTGTGCTCTCTCTCTCTCTCTCTCTCCTCTCTCTCCTCTCTCTCTTCTCTCTCTCTCTCTCCTCTTCTCTCTCTCTCTCTCTCTCTCTCCTCTCTCTCTCTCTCTCTTCTCTCTCTCTCCTCACCAACTACTCACTTCCCTTTCCTCCACTCTCCTCCCTCCCTCCCTCCCTCCCTCACCTCCCCCCTCCCTCCCTCTACCTCTACTCCCCCTCCCTCCCTCCCTCCCTCCCTCCTTCCCTCCTCCCCTCCCTCCCTCCCTCCCTCTCCCTCTCCCTCCTCCCTCCCTCTCTCTCCCTCCCTACCCTCCCCCTCTCCCCCCCCCTCTCTCTCTCTCTCTCTCTCTCTCTCTCTCTCTCTCTCTCTCTCTCCTCTCTCTCTCTCTCTCTCTCTCTCTCTCTCTCTCTCTCTCTCCTCTCTCTTCTCTCTCTCTCTCCTCCTGTGGGTTATCTTTTGCTAAGAGAACCCACATGCCAATGTTAGGCCCCAAAGCCTGCCTTGGCTCTTGTGACTTCATAAAGTTAAAAAGAGGGGTAGAGCTCCCCTTTGATTTGGTTGTGCAATAAGATTTGCTGTTCCAAAAAGTGTTAAATTCCTAACATTTATTTGTGAAGATTTGATTACACTGCTTGATTAACCAGAGACTGCAATTTTACTTTTTGTAAATTGTATTCATCAGTAATGAAATTGATAAAATTGATGTTCTGCAATATATTTTGTGTATTATTTCCTATTTTTTTTTTTCTGTCTCTTCTCTCTCTCTCTCTCTCTCTCTCTATCTCTCTCTTCTCTCTCTCTCTCTCTCTCTCTCTCTCTCTCTCTCTTCTCTCTCTCTCTCTCTCTCTCTCTCTCTCTCTCTCTCTCTCTCTCTCTCTCTCTCTCTCTCTCTCTCTCTCTCTCTCTCTCTCTCTCTCTCTCTCTCTCTCTCTCTCTCTCTCTCTCTCTCTCTCTCTCTCTCTCTCTCTCTCTCTCTCTCTCTCTCTCTCTGGATGTGAAAGAGACGTTCTATGTCCCTGATGAGACATTCGCACTGTACTAGGAAACTTCAATGCGGGATCAGGTTATGATCAAAGTGGTTACAACATGCTTGTTGGTACCAATGGCTCAGGAGGTGAGTAGCCCCCTTCTCTTGAAATTTGGTAGGTCCAAGCAACTGAGGACCTCTGGCGCATGGTATTGTGGTACGGGTACCAAGGAGATCGATCACATCCTTGTTAGCACTCGCCTGATCCTCCAAGATGACAGGGTTCAGTCTTACCGACCACAGTCTAGTTGTGGCTAACGTTCGAGTCCACTTAAAACCCCTCGATCCTGCGTCAAGCCCAGTGTATTTTGTTTGGACAGATTTTTGGGAGGAGTGTGCCTGGAGGCTCACCAAAGCTATCTCGGAACGATTCGCAGTACTTGTAAACATGGCTTACCCTGTAGATCTTCCTTCAAACATGAAATATTTGTCACTGTGCAGGAGTCCATTGGCGCTGGAGGCCGCATGAGTTTCGTGTGGCTTAAGTGAATGGCAATTGGGATTTCCGCTGTTCTTTGGTGTGTAGGGCTTGGGCACTACTAGAAGGGACAAGGAAAAGTACATTAAGAATCTTACTGAGGAGCCTGAAGGCCATTTCTTGGGAAATGACCTTAGTCCTGCCTACCAAGTCCTGAGAAAACTGAACTCCAAGCCCTCCACACAGACAACTGGATAGACGGATCATCTCATTAATGTTAGGGTTCATGAACGCTCAAGCAGCTGTATCAGGTAGATAGATTGGACGCAGGTGGTGTCGCAATCCCTGTGCCGTATCCACCTGTTAGCAAAACAAAATACTACCCTGATTGAGGTTAGGGAGGCGATCTCTAAGCTGCAGAGTGGCAAAACAGCGGTGTCCCTGCCGAACTAATATAGACTATGGCATGGGGTTTGCATACTGTCCTGGCTGTCATCTGACAGGCAAGTACCCTTCCCCTCGACCTGCTGCAGGGTGTGGTCATCCCTTTCTTTAAGGGAAAGGGAGTCGATGGTACCACAGCAACTACCATGGCATCACACTGCCAGCATACCAGGTAAGGTTCTGACATGCATTCTTCTGAGACATGT